TTTAAATTCCACATTAGTATTCTTGGGTTTCATGAACCTGGCCAGTAGGGGGCGCATGAGCAGAGGTTGGACAACTCAGTTTGCTCCCATTGAAAACCATGTAAAGTCTGTTTTGGAGTCAAAGGCTCTCCTCCTGTGCGGTGTACGGTTGTTGGAACAGTCTTAATCGGGGACACTCAATTCTAAGGGAGTTCTAAAAAATATTTCTCAAAAGAGTCTTGATTTTGGGCTTTTTTGGAAGAAAAAAAACAGAAGAAATTGCTGCGTTTCATTGGGGTGACCTGCAGGGGGCGCTTATCTGGGAAAGCCTTGATCCACCTCTCCCGCCTCATTCCAGTGATTTTTTTCAAAGTCTCCTTCTTTATATGAGACCACAGTTGGAACATGAACAAACTCTGGTCTTTCTCTGTATTTGTGCGGTTGCTACAAACGTACACCGCACACAAAGATGGCCTTTTGACAGCGCTTCTTCTTCTACTATATCTCTGTGTATAAACCCGGCAGACTGCACCGCCAGGATACATCACGACCTGTCCTACGTTTGTTGTTCGCGCCACTGCCCTGACGTCATATGAAACCCAAAAATAGCAGCAGTAGATTCCAGTTTGAGCGAGGAGCCACAAAGTAACAGGAAAAAAGTTAACATTTCTTGAGTGATTTTTCCAATACATTTTAGATCATAACAGAAAGTCTATAAGAGCCTGTGTGTAAGTCATCTCTGCGGATTCGAAATCGCTTGAGTAGAGAGAATTTTCCCTTGTATCAAAATAGACTTTGACATTTAGTATTGTGACAACATAGACTGGATCTACGCGCGTCATCCGGAGCAGCTTTTAGTCGTGTTGCTACAAGAGAACGTGCCCCGTAGCTCTTTGAGACACATGTAATATTCATGCTTTAGGCTCAGATTTGGTTTAGTTCATGACCAGCACAATGTCATGTTTCATATTTACACAGCGGTAAAGCCAAAGCATGACTTATAGGCCAGCCCTAGATCAATCCAGTTAGCTGCTAAAAACCTGAAAAGCCAGTGTCTGTATGAAATGAATGAAGATTGAGCAATGAAGGTTGAGCTTCAAAAAGAAAATTCGTAAATATAGTCCTCTCTCTTAGTCGCCTATCTCTTGTCCTTGATCACTTCTAGATTGAGCTGTACTTGTGTGCATGTGTGTGTGTGTGCGTGTGTGTATAGGATATCCCAGTCCGCATCATGTGTCACAGAATGAACCAAGGGGAACTGTCCTGCCCGTCAAAGCTATGGGACACATTTCTTTGTTTCAGCCTATAACAGCACGACCCGCAAAAACCGTGCTTCCCAACAGTGAGCGAACAGGTCACGAAAAAAACAGAAAGCATTACGCCATCGGCTTAAACTTTGGGAGGGATTTTTCTTGTCCAGAATCGAACCATCTCAGCTTGTCCATGTCCTAAAACTGCTGCAGAGAGAAGACATCCCACTGCGACGTATATATAGTACAGGCCCGAGATCAGCACCATGGACAGCTCTCTCTCTCTCTCTGTCAGACGCATATGGCTTATTCTGGGGAAGGGTGACTGTGCTAGAGGACAACGGACCAAAACCACCTTTCCTTTCCCTTAAATAATGTATGCACCGGCCCAACACTGACAGAGAGGCAAGGCTCAAATGGAAGTTTAGGTTTAAGGCTGCATGGGGAGGCAGTTTGCAATGACGAAAGGCTGTACTTATAAAGCGGGACTACGTGGGGGGGAGAGAGTTGGTGAAGTGAAGTGAGTGAGGCGTCTGCAGCTTCTCTATAACCAACGCATTCCATCACATTAAGAGAGCGGCAGCTAATAATCACTACGCATTAGCGATGATTCAGCACCCTTTAAACCGCGCGTCGCTCCATAACCCACAACACGACCATGGGCGCCTTCTTTACGGCAGTCTCTCTCCTCTCTGTGTCTTCACCGTTTTTACCTTTACCGCATTCATTGTAGGTTAGGTGACTATTCTTTTTTTTTTTTTTTCCTTTCTCCTCCTACTCTCCCCCCTCTCTCTTCTCCACGCCTAGGCCCGCGCACGTCTCCCTTTGCCACCTTCACTTGAATGTTATGTTTACACCGTGATGCTGCTGAAAGGCGATGGTGGCACACGCTGGCTCCGTGAGAGAAGCCAGGGTCCCCTACATCTCCTTGCGCTGTGTCGCATCGAGCCCTAATGTTTGCCAGGCGTGACATTCAGCATGCTTTGGCCAAGGACATCTCACACTCACAGAGGCACCTATAGTCGCAGCGTGCGTGTGTGTGTGTGTGTGTGTGTGTGTATCTCTCTCTGTATGTGTGTGTGTCTCTGTGTCTGTGTTGATACAAAGGGGGAAAAAATGCCGCAATGAGAGAGAGAAGATGTCTCTGTCAATGACCGAGGCGCAGAGGCACAGGTGAATGCGAGGTGGGATATGAGCGTGGAAGTGGAAGTGGAAAGGGCTCCTTATATCTCTCTGCCGCTGGGATAGAACAGACATACGCGGGTGCTTACCTAAAATCACTATATGGATGAATGATCCAATAGCCAGCCGTCTGCACTCGCTCCTGCTCCTTCTCCACTGCTTTCTGGCTGCCAAACATCCGCAAGGAGAACTTATTGACACCGGGCTGCATCATGGCCCCAAACTGCCTTTGCATGAACCCGTGCCGACCAGCCGCCCCTTCCAAGTCGTCAAATCCCACCATGGCCTCTTCTCGCTCCCCCTTGAAGCCCACGGAGTTGCTGTGCTCCTTCTGGCTGCCAGTGTTGTTCTTCTGTATAGAGTCCTGCCTTTGAAAGACATTGTTCCCATCTGCCTTCTCCTCCTTGTTGGAGAACGAGTTGGATTTGTCTTCCATGGCGCGCGATGACTTTTGGAGGAGGAGGAGAAGAGGAGGAGGGGGAACGCACAGAAGAGCCGCCTGGGTGCTCTCCTGTCCTCCGTGGGGTTGTGTGGTACCCTTCACAAGTCTTCTGCTCCTGAGCCCTGGACGCCGCGCACTGAGACAGGGTGGCCGGGGAGCCGCTGGATCACGTTTCCTTGGGTTATCGCCATCTACCGACGGCCCGTGTGTATGTGTCCAGCACCGACACAGCACTGCGGTTTAACTGGCACGGTCTCATCCTCCAGCTTATTTACATAATGTGCTTTATGGAAGATCCCCGCCCCTTCAGCGGTCATCAGCACACGGATGACGATAGGGCGTTTTTTTCTTTTTTTTTTTTTACAGAGGAACACTGAAAATACGTGTTTATGTGGTTATTATTATTATAGGACTGTGACCATCATGACACACTGCTGTGTTAGAGGTCTATAAGAGGATTTTCTCATTTTTGCACTTTTTGAAAACTCGCTGGTCTTATTGGACGGGCATGTATCACCAGAATGATTGACACATGGGAGGACCAATAGTCTTGATGATCCACCCGGAAGTAGAACATCCCCCTATACTTTAAATAATAAGGCAAATGAATAAAGCAAAATAATAAAAGTAAAAGTGCACTTTTTATTAATTCAATCCTCTGCATTTGACCCATCCTGATGCCGCAAAGGCTTACGTCAGGAGCAGTGGTTGCCGTAGTAACGGTGCCCGGGAACCCATGCTGATGCTCGGCTCAGTCAGGACCAGAGCTGGAGGATTTAACCTAGTGAGCATGTTTTTAGTGGTAGGGGAAACCGGAGGACCTGGAGGAAACCTACGCAGGCACGGGGAGAACATGCAAACTCCACTCAGAAAGACCCTGTTCGGACCGGGATTCGAACCCAGGACCTTCATTTCTGAGAGGCAAGAGTGCTATCCACCGTGGAAGGCAAAGGCAAATAAAATGCAGGCTTTTTAAAATGATATTATGCTAGAAAAAAAACGCAGGACACAGTGGAAGATCCATCCACTGAAACGAACAGGATTTTACCGTCAGCTAAATAATATAATTGTTATGAATGGCAGGAATTCATACAGTACATACACAAGTCAACTCAAAACAAGAGAGAAACACAAACAAGGCATTAAAATATATAATTACTGATAAAAGATATGTCTTTCAGTCATATTCACAGATAAACAGAACTGATTGTAAGTTTTGAGATCCCAGAGACTCTCCATGATCTGTGCGGAGAGGCAGCATTTCAGATTCATGTAGCTAAAGTCTGGAACAGTCTTCCTGAAAATGTGAGACAGGCTTCTTCTCTGACAATGTTCATAATCCAGGTTAAAAACTGTTGTGTTTATCTGCAACAACTGAAGGATTTTGTCTTTACTCTTATTAATGTACTGTGATTATTGATGATTTTAAGACAAGGCCTATGAACTGTGTTGAACAACAAAAATGGCAGAATATTTAGTTATTTATTTGGATTGCCGTTAACATAAACAAGCGATCGCTCGTCTTCCTGGTGTTTGCTCCTCACTGGATCAATTTACAAAAGTTCAAACATACTCTATATACAATGATGATGACTGACGGATTAATTTTCCATCGTAATTTAATCTCTGCTTTAAGAAATTTGTTTATGAAATGCGTCCGTTATGTCATCGGGCCATAGTTTTGCTGGACGCATGGTGCAGGCCTCAAAGCGACACATGGTGCAGGCCTCAGAGCGACACATGGTGCAGGCCTCAAAGTGAGACATGGCAGGCCTCAGAGCGACACATGGTGCAGGCCTCAAAGTGAGACATGGTACAGGCCTCAGAGCGACACATGGTGCAGGCCTCAAAGTGAGACATGGTACAGGCCTCAGAGCGACACATGGTGCAGGCCTCAGAGCGACACATGGTGCAGGCCTCAGAGCGACACATGGTGCAGGCCTCAGAGCGACACATGGTGCAGGCCTCAAAGCGACACATGGTGCAGGCCTCAGAGCGACACATGGTGCAGGCCTCAAAGTGAGACATGGTACAGGCCTCAGAGCCACACACCTCTGCCCTCAGCCGCATCTGCCCTGACAGTGGATCAGGTGCACTGCATTACCCAATGTTATCATGGAGTGAAAATCTGCACCTGTAAACCAGTCTACCCCAGACTCCAGGATCTACAGCCTCAGTCCTGGATCTACAGCCTCAGTCCTGGGTCTACAGCTTCAGTCCTGGGTCTATAGCCTGAGTCCAGGGTCTACAGCCTCAGTCCTGGATCTACAGCCTCAGTCCTGGATCTACAGCCTCAGTCCTGGATCTACAGCTCAGTCCTGGGTCTACAGCCTCTGTCCTGAATCTACAGCCTCAGTCCTGGGTCTACAGCCTTAGTCCTGGGATCTACAGCCTCCAGTCCTGGAGTCTACAGCCTCAGTCCTGGGTCTACAGCCTCAGTCCTGGATCTACAGCCTCAGTCCTGAATCTACAGCCTCAGTCCTGGATCTACAGCCTCAGTCCTGGGTCTACAAGCCTCAGTCCTGGGTCTACATGCCTCAGTCCTGGGTCTACAGCCTCAGTCCTGGATCTACAGCCTCAGTCCCTGGGTCTACAGCCTCAGTCCTGGGTCTACAGCCTCAGTCCTGGATCTACAGCCTCAGTCCTGGGTCTATAGCCTCAGTCCTGGGTCTATAGCTGCAACTCAGTCCTGGGATCTACAGCCTCAGTCCTGGGTCTACAGCCTCAGTCCTGGGTCTATAGCTTCAGTTCCTGGTATCTACAGCCTCAGTCCTGGGTCTACAGCCTCAGTCCTGGGTCTACAGCCTCAGTCCTGGGTCTACAGCCTCAGTCCTGGATCTACAGCCTCAGTCCTGGGTCTACAGCCTCAGTCCTGTGTCTACAGCCCTCAGTCCTGGGATCTTAACCACACCTTGGACCTTGTCCTGACCTACGGCTGTGATGTCTCCAATGTTGACATCCAGCGTCAAAGCTTCGTTGCTGTCTGACCATTTCTTGATCACGTTTGATCTCGCTTTGGAGGACTTTCCTGTCCCGCAAGATAAAACCATAATGAAAAGAACCTTAAATGATAAATCTATCACAAGGTTCAAAGAACTAATACAGCCTATGTTGAATACTGCTGCAGGTGAACCTGTTCACAGCAGCTGCAGTCCCTCAGTCATTGACCAAACGGTGGGCAACACTATGGAGTCTTTAAAATCTGCATTAAATGCAGCAGCTCCTTTAAAACAGAAAACCATTAGGATTAGATCATCGTCGCCCTGGTACAGTGTTCAACTCCACACTTTAAAACAGGACGTCAGAAAATTGGAGAGGCTATATCGCCACTCCCACTCGGAGCCTGTCCACAGGGAGTGGAAAGCAGGTCTCCGAAACTACAAGAAGGCCCTTCGCGGGGCTCGAACTCAATACTATTCAACTTTAATAGAAGCGAATAAAAACAACAGTAGATTTTTGTTTGGTACCGTCGCTAAACTCACAAACTGCCATAGCGCAATCGAGCCTAAAATTCCAAGCTCACTGAGCAGTGTCGACTTTCTCCACTTCTTTAATAATAAAATTACATCCATCCGTGACAAACTGGAGGAGGTTGCTCCTGCTGTTAGTGGTGGACAGGTTGAAGCGGCATACGTGACTTCCCACTTAGACTCTTCAGTGGGCCTTAATAAATTCATGGCTGTGAGCCAAGCAGAGGTGATCTCTGTGGTCACATCCTCAAAAGCCTCAACTTGCATGTTAGACGCAGTCCCGACATGGCTCTTCAAAGACATACTTCCTTTGATAATTGAGCCTATCGTAAATATAATAAACGCATCCATACAATGTGGCTATGTCCCACAAGCTTTTAAAACCGCGGTAATCAAACCCCTTCTGAAGAAAACAAACCTGGACCCAGAAATACTTACAAACTACAGACCGATCTCAAACCTCACTTTTATATCTAAAATCCTGGAAAAACTTATAGCTGAGCAGCTCCGCTGCCACCTGCAGGAAAATGATATGTTTGAAGTCTTTCAATCAGGATTCAGAGCTCATCATAGCACTGAAACGGCACTAGTCAAAGTCACAAATGACTTACTACTAGCTGCCGATAATGGACAAGTGTCAGTGCTGGTCCTACTGGACCTTAGTGCTGCATTTGACACAATAGACCACAGCATTCTACTGCAGAGGCTAGAATGTGATATAGGTCTTAGAGGAACAGCCCTTGGCTGGTTTAAATCCTATTTATCAGATCGATATCACTTCGTCAATGTGAATCAGGACTCGTCGCCTTATTCTGGAGTGGAATTCGGTGTGCCGCAGGGTTCGGTACTCGGACCGATTCTTTTTACTCTCTACATGCTGCCACTGGGAAACATTATTAAAAAGCATGGAATTAATTTCCACTGCTATGCAGATGACACACAGCTTTATCTGTCGATGAAGCCTAATCAGACAGATCAGCTAGAAAAGCTCAGTGCCTGCATAAAGGACCTTAAAATGTGGATGACTCTTAACTTCCTACTTCTCAACCCGGAGAAGACAGAAGTGATCCTACTCGGTCCGAAGCGCCTGCGTGACTCCCTCACTAACCAGATGGTTACTCTTGATAATGTCAGTATAATACCCAGTAACACTGTGAGGAATCTTGGAGTCATTTTTGACCAAGAACTCTCCTTCAAGGCTTATATAAGCCAAGCAACTAAAACGGCGTACTTCCACTTACGGAACATCGCTAAAATTAGGAATTTCCTTCCTAAAAGTGACGCGGAAAAACTCATTCACGCGTTTGTCACCTCAAGGCTCGACTACTGTAACGCTTTACTGGCAGCGTGCCCTAAAGCCTCTTTGAAGAGCTTCCAGCTCGTTCAGAATACAGCAGCTAGGATCTTAACAGGTACCAAAAGGAGGGAGCACATAACTCCAGTGTTAAAATCACTCCACTGGCTCCCTGTGGAGTACAGAATAAAGTTTAAAATCCTACTCTTAACATATAAAGCCATAAATGGCTTGGCTCCTTCTTATCTCCAAGACACGTTAGTGTCGTATCAACCAGGTCGAGCGTTGCGCTCACAAAACGCCAGACGTCTGGTGGTCCCTAAGGTCTCAAAGGTCACTGTTGGTGGCAGAGCATTTAGCTACCAAGCTCCTTTACTGTGGAATCAGCTTCCCATTTATGTTAAGGAAGCAGATACGGTCTCCACATTCAAGGCCAGGCTTAAAGCACTTTACTTTAATTTAGCATATAATTAGGTAATATATAATATATGGTGTATATATTATATATGTATGCTGTATTATGTTATATATTATGTTATATATTATACAATAATGTATTGTGTTATGTTGTATATTATGTTATATATTATGCTGTATGTTATTCTTTATTCAAGGCTAGGTTTAAAACAGTCCTCTTTAGTTTAGCATATGGCTAGGAAGGTAAGACTCGGAGAAGGTTAAACTCCTCAGAGTGTTAGTCAAGCTGCATAGGGAGTCAGTTTGCTGGGAGAAGTATGGTAACTTGAGCACTATCCTCTCCTCCTTCCTACTTTATCTGTTTAGCATTTTTAGGATTCTGACTGTAGTTTGTTCATTGCTATTCACCCGTTGTCCCATTGTCTGTTTCATGGTACGATGACGGGATCTCTGAGCCTGGCCTCTTCCATCTACACCTGCGGACTGCCCCGCCCGACCCGCCTGGGAGTGCTTCAGTCCTGCACCGGACCTGTCCACGTTCAGCGTCTACTGGTCCACGTTCTGTAGCTAGCTTAGGTCCTGGATCATTAGTCTGTCCGTCCGGAGGAGCGGATCCCTTTCTCATATGGGTCTCCCTCCCTGTGGGTTTCCCTAGTTCTCCTCCAAGGTTTCTCACTTTTTCCCACTGGGTTTTTTAAGAGTTTTTCCTTGTCGATGCAGGAGGGTCTTGTTGGACAGTTAGTGTCCAACAGAAAGGATTGGTGATGATCAGGACACTTTAGCATTCTACAACATGTATGGACATTTTCTTCTGTGTGTGCTTTATACTGTATTCTTCATGTGTTTTTACTGTTGATTCTCTGACCTGTGTTGGTGATTTCAATGGTTTTGTTAAGTCCTCTGAGATGACTTCTGTTGTGACCTAGGGCTATACAAGAATAAATTGTATTGTATTGTATTGTATTGTATTAAACCAATTAAACCTAGGCTTAACATAGTGGACCATATTTTATTTCATGATTAAATGAATAATCCAATATTTCTTTATGGCTCACAAACAAAAACAAACTTTCTTCAAAGAGAAAGCACATGTCCTGAACATTAAATGAATAATCCAATATTTTCTTTCTATGTCTCTGTGAGGCTGTTCTAATACTAATCCCGGGGGCCATGATAATTCCTTCGCGGGCCGGATCTGGCACCCGGGCCTTGACTTTGACACCTATGCTATAATATAATTTGCATTCTGTAAAATCTTTGGTCGTGTCTCGTCTCTACCATCAACAATAAAACATGTCTTCTGTCTGTTTGACACGACCCCGGACTTTGTCAATTTCGTCAAAACCTTTTTATATGATGTGTGTAAATGTGCATAAGAACAGAAACGTTATCCTTGAGATGTAGATTTACAAATCATACAAACTCCACACTCTCATTTGGAGTGATTTATAGAAATGAATCAATATTCTCGTCCAAACAGGTCCCTCCTCGTCATGTCTTGAGTCTAAAGACCCTAACCCCTAACAAATGGTTTATGTGAAAACACCAATGACCCAATGTGGCCCTCATTCGTAACACAGCAGGGGTTGGTGGTCCGACTCCAGGAGAGACACATATTGTTCTTCTCCATCAATCCGCTCCAAAGCAAAGACCTGACCTTCTTGTTGCAGGTCGTGACACACCTTGGAAAAGCCTTTTATATAATGATAAATGGACAAACTGGACCTGGACATTACCTCAAGCCAAACGTCAAAGCAATAAAACCACATTTACTAACATAGAAGAGAACTACAGCAATACTTGAGAAAATACCAAATTGTGTATACGTGTGTGTGTGTGTGTTCCTTCCTTTGAACTGTATGTCATTATTGTCTGTGTTCTATATTATG